ACCCCACCCCCAGCCTCTAGTCTCCATAGTGAGGGTCGCCAGGGAAACGGTGCCGTTTCTATAGCAACTATGTGCTCTGCTCTCCCTGCCAAGGGCCAGCTAGAGACAAGAACTGTGGGTGGGGGACAGCTGTGAAGTGGGTAGGGGGAGGGGGGCCCTCCCTGGGCCTGTGGAACCAGCCCTGGGTACCCCAAGCAAGGCAGCCCAGATCCTGGGTGCCTCTGCCCAGGAGCTACCCAACGGCCTTGCCCCAGGTCTGACGGGGTGACTCATGAGCCAGGCTGGCCCAATCCACCCCGGGATGCCAGTAAGGCTGGGCTGCTCCCATCCCCCTCGCCGTGCACAAGCCAGCAGTGCATGCTACCCACTAGGCCACACTCTCCCTCCATGGTGGCTAAGCCCCTTTGGGATATTGGGCTAAGCAGGAACGGGGTTCATCTTCTGAGGAAGGGGAAGAGAGTATTTAGATTAAACTGGCTAACCTAGGGAGGAGGCTTCAAACTAGGGTTTGATGGGAACAGGTGACCAAAACTCACAGGTAAGTGAAAAACATGGAGACTTGGGAGATGGCTCAGAAATAGGAGGGAGCGTGGGCTATAACAGCAGAGATAAAGGAGGGACAAGGAAGAACTGGGAGGCATAATCAAATCAGTGTCTTAGATGCCTGTATACAAAAACAAGGAGTATGGGGAATAAGCAGGAAGAACGTGAAGTCCTAATAAATAAACACAGCTCTGACATAATCGGTATCACAGAGACCTGGTGGGATAACAACACTATTGGAATATAGGTATAGAGGGGTACAGCTGACTGAGGAAGGCTAGGCAGGGAAAATATGGGGGAGGTGTTGCTTTATATATTAAAAATATACAGGGAAATAAGAGACAGACTTTCTGAAAATCTCTGGGTAAGGACAAATGAAATAAAAATAAGGGTGCTGTTATGGTAGGAGTCTACTACAGACCACTTAACCAGGGGGATGGGATGGTTGAAGTGTTATTTAAACAACTATCAGAATCATCTAAGCAAAGAACTTGTGATGGGACACTTAAATTAACCAGACATCTGGTTGGGAAACTAACACAGCAGGGCACAGATTAGCCAGTAAGTTCTTTGACTGCATTGGAGACAAATTTTTATTTCAGAAGGTTGAAAAAGCTACCGGGGGGAAGCTGTTCTAGATTTGATTTTAACAAATAGGGAGGAACTGGTTGAGAATTTGAACGTGGAAGGCAGCTTGAGTGAAAGTGATCACGAAACCATAGAGTTCCTGATTCTAAGGAACGGTAGGAGGGAGAACAGCAAAATAGAGACAATGGATTTCAGGAAGGCGGATTTTGGGAAGCTCAGAGAGCTGATAGGTAAGGTCCCATGGGAAGCAAGACTGAGGGGAAAAACAACTGAAGAGAGTGGGCAGTTTTTCAAAGGGACATTACTAAGGGCCCAAAAGCAAGCTATCCCGCTGCGTAGGAAAGATGGAAATATGGCAAAAGACCGCCTTGGCTTAACCAGATCTTGCATGATCTAAAAATCAAAAAGGAGTCTCATAAAAAGTGGAAACTAGGTCAAATTACAAAGGCTGAATATAAGCAAACAAGACAGGTATGCAGGGGCAAAATTAGAAAGGAAAAGGCACAAAACGTTTGGCAATGTTCTACAAATATAATAGAAGCAACAGGAAGACCAAGGACAGGGTAGGCCTGTTGCTCAGTGAGGAGGGAGAAACAGTAACAGGAAACTTGGAAATGGCAGAGGTGCTTAATGACGTCTTTGTTTCGGTTTTCACCAAGAAGTTTGATGGTGACGGGATGCCTAACATAGTGAATACTAGTGGAAATGAAGCAAGTTTAGAAGTTAAAATAAAAAAAAAAAGAACAAGTTAAAAATCACTTCGAAATGTTAGATGTCTGCAAGTCACCAGGGCCTGATGAAATGCATCCCAGAATACTCCAGGAGCTGATAGAGGAGGTATCTGAGCCTTTAGCTATCATCTTTGAAAAGTCATGGAAGACGGGAGAGATTCCAAAAGACTGGAAAAGGGCAAATCTAGTGCCCATCTATAAAGAGGGAAATAAGAACAACCCGGGAAACTACAGACCAGTCAGTTTAACTTCTGTGCCAGGGAAGATAATGGAGCAAATAATTAAGGAATCCATCTGCAAACACCTGGGCTACAGCTACACTGGCAGCTTCTTGTGCAAAAACTGTTTTGCGGAAGAGTTCTTGGGCAAAAAGTCTTCCACAAGAGAACGTCTACACTGGCATGTGCTTTTGCACAAGTGCGGATGCTCTCTTGCACAAGAAAGCTCTGGTGACCATTTCTTTCTTGCACAAGAAATTCATGTTGCCTGTCTACTCTGCCCTCTTGTGGAAGAGCTCTTGCGCAAGGGGGCTTATTCCTCGTGGGGAGAGGAATAACTCTTCCAGAAGAAGCCCTGTTTTCCGACGCTGGACTGTACATTTACTTGTGCTAGAACGTGCGCGCAGTGTAGACAGCAGGCAAGTTTTTACAGCCGTTCTTGCGCAAGAAGCTGCAGGTGTAGACATAGTCCTGGAAGATAATAAGGTGGTAGGTGACAGCCAGCATGGATTTGTGAAGAACAAATCATGTCAAACCAATCTGATTGCTTTCTTTGATAGGATAACGAGCCTTGTGGAGAAGGGAGAAGCGGTGGATGTGATATAGCTAGACTTTAGTAAAGCATGTGATACAGTCTCGCATGGCCTTATCAATAAACTAGGGAAAAGCAATGTAGATGGGGCTACTATAATGTGGGTGCATTACCGGCTGGATAACCGTACTCAGAGAGTAGTTATTAATGGTGCACAATCCTGCTGGAAGGGCATAATAAGTGGGGTTCCACAGGGGTCTGTTTTGGGACCGGTTCTGTTCAATATCTTCAGCAGTTTAGATATTGGCATAGAGAGGACACTTATTAAGTTTGCAGATGATCCCAAGCGGGGAGGGGATGCAACTGCTTTGGAGGATGGGCTCATAATTCAAAACGATCTGGGCAAACTGGAGAAATGGTCTGACGTAAACAGGATGAAGTTTAATAAGGACAAATGCAAAGTGCTCCACTGAGGAAGGTCCAGTCAGTTTCACTCATACAGAATGGGAAGTGACTGTCTAGGAAGGAGTCCGGCAGAAAGGGATTGAGGGGTCATAGCGGACCACAAGAGAAACATGAGTCAGCAGCGTGACGCTGCATGAGCAGGAGTGTTGTGAGCAAGACACAAGAAGTCGTTCTTCCGCTCTGCTCTGCTCTGCGCTGGTTAGGCCTTAGCTGGAATCTTGTGTCCAGTTCTGGGCACTGCATTTCAAGAAAGATGTGGAGAAATTGAAGAAGGTCCAGAGAAGAGCAACAAGAATGATGCAAGGTCTAGTGGACTCCACTCCCCAGCCAGGGTTCAGGGCTGCCCACAAGCCCCGGGGGGCTGGCAAAGACCCTGAGCCAGTGAACATCGGCCAGAGTCCGACACCTACGTACCAGAGAGTTGGCTGCCACAAAGGCCAAGGCCCGGGCAGAGCAGAGAACCAGACCAGGCCCCAGTATGGCAGGCCCTGTTCCATCCCCACCTCTGCTCTCCGCCAGGGCCGTGTCTGGGTCACGCTGAGCATCACTTGGGATCTGTGCCTGGGACCTGCACTCCCCTGCACTGGCAGCCCGGTCCTGGGGCTGAGACCCACGCCTGCGGGGAGATCTCAGCATGGCCGTGGGCTTGAAGTGCCTCCTGCTTGTGAGAACCCTCTGGCCTTGTCGCCTGTCCCGAGCCCCTGCCTCTGCCTCCTCCACGGAGCCTCACGAGCCTGGCGACCACGGTGACGCTGCTCCCCACGTTCGTGGTGGACACGGGCCTGGCTCTCACCTGGTGTGACCCATCGCTGGCGAGGCTGGAACCCTGGCGGTGCATGTTCTGCTGGCTGCATGTGCTGTGCCTGGCGGGGGGGAGCATAACCCTGTTTGCTGATCTCCACATCTAAGGGAGGGCCCTTCCTGGGACTTAAGGACCCGAACGGCCCAGTTCTGGACCAATGAGCTGTGAATGGACCTGCTTTTCCTGGGAGCCTGGACTCTGGCTGGTCCTAGTGCTGGAATCCATCTTGAATTTGGGACTTTCCCACGGGGGAGGGGAAGGAGGCAACTGAATAAAGGCTCCTGCCCCGGGGAAAGTCTATCTAAGGTGAGGGAAGCAAACAAGGATGGTCTCTAGCTGGCGTCACAGCCTGCCCCCAGCAAACACCTGGAAACACAAGGGCTGGAGAACTGCCAGCCCCAGGCCCCTGCAGCCAGTGTCGGGGTGAGAAGACTGGCCTGGGGGTGAGAGGTTCCGGGCTGTGAGTGGGCGTTTTGTTTTGCTTAGTAACTTACGTTGATCTGTCTCTTCGGGGGGAGGGGGGAGCCGAGCGAGTCTGCACAGAAAAAACGATCGAGGTGGCACTTCCTAGACTCACGGAACATGGCGATGGGAGCGCGGGCGGTGCCCACGGAAGCTCACGATCCCATCGACGTGGTGTGAGTCCAGACGTGCAAGCGGCCCATTGGCTGTCCGATCTGTCTCTCGTCACTGGACACCACTTTGCACACTTCATAGAGTCCCTGGTTTGTCAGTAACCCGGGGAGATGACGGTTACCGGGGGCGCGTCTCTTGCACTGGTGAAAGCGGTGACAAGTTGTGAGCTCCCTGCGTCTGAACACTGGAGCTGTGCCCGGGCTCTGCTCCCGCTGGGCTCTCAGGTTCCTGGACTGAGCCTTCCCGGAGCAGAGCCTCTCTCGGTGTCTGTGCTGCTCTGCTGTGGGCAGTGACCCCCACTCTGCCAGCGCCGGGGGAGACGAGGGCCGGTCTCGGCAGGATGGGTGGGCTCAGTCCCCCTAAGCTGCACAGCTTCCCACTAAGCCCCATGCAGGCGGGGGCTGCAGCAGGGAGAGAACTTGGCAAGAGTCCAAGTCCCCCCTAGTCCTTGCATCTGATCAGGGGGAAATTCCCTCCTGACGCTGCCCAGGGCACCAGGGAGAGCTGGGGGGGGGGCAAGACCCAGCCACACGCCGAGACAGAGTGCTCAGAACCACCCCTCTCCCAGCGGAGAAGACAGGGATTAACCCCCCCTCCCCCCCAATAGGGGACCTTCCTGACCCCTGCTGGCAGTAGGAACCAGGCTTGCTTTACCCACTAGGCCACACTTCCTCTGCCACCAAGGCTCCCTGTGGCACATGTGCGTGCCCTGCACGTTATTCATATTCCTCCCTCAGCTTTCATGTTAACCCCTCGCGTTCAGCACAGCTGGGCAGCAGCTCTGCTCCCGCCACGCACGCCCCATGCACGGGCTCCGTGCGCCGCATGCGCGCTGGGCCTGGCCCAAAACCTGGGCACAAGTGCTGGCTGGGGGGAGGAGGGGGACACTAGCAGAGGGCCGGCTGCACCGAGCACTGCTCCGGGCAAGCCTGCGGCCAAGACCCCGGCCCACTGGGAATCCCCATGTGCCCGGCCAGCACTGGGGGCTGGCGGCCCTCTAGTGGCTGGTCTCCGGCATCACACGCTGCTTCCCCCCTGCCGCCCTGGGCTCAAGGAAGCGACTGTCCCGGCAGAGGGGACCCGGGTGCGGCCTCCGTGGGGCAGGGATGGGACAGAAACGTGAGCCCCCGAGAGCCAATGCTCCCAGTGCTCCCAGGCTGGGGCGAGCCCCTGGTGCGCGAGCCCAGGAGCTGGGAGGAAGTGGAGATTCTCTGTAATACTTGTAGGAAGCCTGTGTGAGCCTCAGTTTCCCCAGCTGCTGCTCTACTCTTGGGGGGCACCCAGCTGTCCTTTCTGGCTCAGCCCCCCAGCAGGGGAGACCAGACAGCGGCAAATCCCACCCCCGGGACATCAAACTCTGGCAACGCCGCCTCTCAGCACCCCAGCTCGGGACACGGGAGGAGCTACGCGTGGGCTGCGGGAACCCCGGGGGCACCTGGACTAGTACAAAGAGAAACCTCCCCCTGCAGCGGCCCCTGCTAGGACCCGCCCAGGACCAGAGGTGAGTGGCCCGGGGGGCTTAGGGGCAGGGTCCATTCACCCTGGTCCCGTGGCAGGGGCCCCGCCGGGCGGGC